AGCCGGCAGCCACTAGGCACCTTACCCGTGCACAAATTTTGTGCACTGGGCCTCTAGTTTATTAATAATAGCCATTCAGACAGGTGTAAGGTGATATCTCATTGGGTGTTTTTTAAAATTGATTTTTGAGAGAGAGAGAGAGAGAGAGAGAGAGAGAGAGAGAAAGAGAAACATCAATTAGTTGCTACCTCATGCACCGCGACCCTGGATCAACCCATAACCTGGGTATGTGCTCTGACTGGGAATCAAACCAGCCACCTTCTAGTGTATGGGATGGTGCTTCAACCAACTGAGCCACACCAGCCAGGGTTTATTGTGGTTTTAATTTGCATTTCTCTGATGATTGATGATATTAAGTTCTTTATAAATTTTGGATATTAACCCCTTATCAGATGTATCATTGGTGAATATGTTCTTCCCTGCGGTGGGCTGTCTTTTCATTTTGTTGATTGTTCCCTTTACTGTGCAAAACTTTTTAGTCTAATGTAGTCCCATTTGTTTATTTTTTCTTTTGTTTCCCTAGCCCAAGGAGATATATCAGAAAAAATATTGCTACGAGAAATATCCAAGATTTTACTGTCTATGCTTTCATCTAGGATTTTTATGGTTTCGAGTCTAACATTTAAGTCTTTCATCCATTTTGAATTTGTTCTTGTGTATGATGTAAGAAGATGGTCTAGTTTCCTTTTTTTGCACGTATCTGTCCATTTTTCCAAACACTATTTATTGAATAGACTATCTTTACCTTATTGTATGTTCTTGCTTCCTTTGTCAAATATTAGTTGACCAGAAAGGTGTGGGTTTATTTCTGGGCTCTCTAGTCTATTTCATTTATCTATATATCTGTTTTTATGCCAGTACCAGGCTGTTTTGATTACTATGGCCTTGAAATTATGTTTGATATCAGATAGTGTGATTCCTCCAACTTCGTTTTTTTTCTTCTCAAGATTGTTGTGGCTAATCGGGTCTTTTGTGGTTCCATATAAATATTTGGAATATTTTTTCTAGTTCTGTGAAATACACCATTGGTATCTTAATAAGAATTACGTTGAATCTATAGATTGCTTGGGTAGTATGGCCATTTTAATTATGTTAATTCTTCTTATCCATGAACATGGTATATGCCTTCACTTATTTGTATCTTCTTCAATTTCTTCAGTGTCATAATTTTCTATGTACAGGTTTTTTACATCCTTGTGACCATGGTAGTCTTGCCTGAAGAACCTATATTCCTAAGAGCTATGCTATTCCTCTTCCCTGACTCCACAATCTGTCTTTCTCCAAATTCTGTCAAACATTATTTCAAAATGCCTCTGAGATTACCTTTATTCCCATTTCCATAGACCCTTTTAGTTCAAGGAAGCAGCCTCCTAATTGGTTCTCTCTCTCCTAGTCTCACCCACCTTCAATTTTTGATATATTTATCTAGACACTGTTAGATCAATATTCTGGAAACACTGCCTTCTTATGTCACTTGAAAAACTTTTAATAGTTTCCTATTTTCTACAGTTTCAAATTAAAATTCTGCTTTTTTTTCAAGGTCTCTGGATAACTAACCCCACTCCACCTCCCTATCCTTATCTCCCACTACTCCCTACCACACTCCTCATTCTAGACAAGTCATTCTCATTGATATACTGAACACCCAAAAGTCCCTTTCCTACCTTCTTGCTTTTGCCCATTTCCTTCTGCTCCTGTAGTCAAACCCCACCAATTCCATAAAACATTCTCTGATTATCTGAGTCTGTGCTCATCTTTTCCTCTTCTGAACTTCGTCAGTACTTAAAATGTGTACAACAAAACATCCGAATTTCTGCATCCCCCACCCAAGAATAAAACCAAAACAACTGAAAAACAAAACTAAGTGATTATAAAACTCAGTTTTCTTCACTTCTTGTTGATGGACACAAATGCAGTTCATAACTAGTTTTACATTCTCTGTGTCTACTATTATCACTTAAAACATTTTTGAGTGTACACGTGTACTCAATATAGATGTAGCAAATGAACTTTAGAGTCAGATCTGATTTTGTATTCTGGTTTCTAGTTGTGTGGTCCTTGGGAGACTTTTCTGTGTTTCCTGAGCTTAAGTTTTCTCATCTATAAAATTAGGATAATTAATGATTATTTCATAGGGCCATGTAAAGATTAAAAGAGATTAGCCCAGTCCCTGGTACATGAATGGCATTCACTAAAAGGCTAGTTCTCATTCACTTTCTTCTTAATGGTCATTTAGTAGTCTATTGTATTACTACTAGTATTACTAATTTTCACCAGTTTGGTTTTTTTCATTGTTGGGTTTTTGGGTTGTTTTCAGTTTTACTAGTATAAATAGTGGTCTATAAACATCTCTTTACTAATCACTTTTTTCCTTTTGGATTATTTTCTTGGAGTGTATTCCCCAAAGTTGAATTATCACATGAAAAGGTATATAAATTTTTATGGCTATTGTCAGGAATTGCCCTGTCATCCACTAAGATTGTACTGATTTCTTACAATGCCATTATTATATAAAATTATCTGTTTCCTAAGGCCACTTAGGCATTAGATTCAATTTTTTAAAATCTTTGCTAGTTTTTATAGGTATACTAGAGGCCCGGTGCATGGATTCATGCACTGGTGGGGTCCCTCAGCCTGGCCTGCGCCCTCTCACAGTCCGGGACCCCTTGGGGCATGTAGCAGTGCATGAAGCGGCAGGCGGCCGGGGAAGAGCCCAAGCTAGGGCTCACCAGCTATGAGCCTGGCTTCTGGCTGAGCAGCACTCCTGCATTGAGTGTCTGCCCCCTGGTGGTCAGTGTGTGTCATAGCTACCGGTCAACTGGTCACTTAGGCTTTTATATATATAGATAATGGCACTTAGGATGATTTAATTTGGATTTCTTTAATTGATTGCAAATGGTACATTATGCAAGCAATTACATTGTCTTATACATTTAAAACCAACTATGTACATTGTATAAACGGAATCATATAACCTTGAGCAAGTCACTTTACATCTATGAATTTGGTTTCTTTTTCTCACCTGAGGATATTTCCCCCCCATTGATTTTTAGAGAGAGTAGAAGGAAGGGAGGGAGGGGAAGGAAGAGGAAGAGAGAGAGAGAGAGATGTGAGAGAGACACGTACATCGGTTGCCTCACACATGTACCCCTACTGGCACAGGGGATCAAACCTGCAACCCAGGCACATGCCCCAGACCCGGAATCGAACCCAAGACCCTTTGGTGTGTGGCTGACACTCTAACCATTGAGCATACCAGCCAGGGCTGAATTTGTTTTCTTAACACTAAAATGAGGGGATGATACTCTCTAAAATTCCTTCCATTGTTATGGTTCTAGGTGTCTTTTTCTCTCCTCTAGCTCCTGATTCAGTACTGAGAATATCCTAAGTGCTCTGTAATTATATATTTTACCTGTTGATTACATTTTCTCCAGAGATTCAGACAAATATTTTAAGATTGCAAATTTTATCATGTCCCTCTCCTGCTTAAAATCCTACAATGACTTTCCATTGCTCTTAGGATAAATACCAAGTTCGTTACCATGCCCAGAAAGATTGTATGATCTGCTCACTTTATGCATCACTTCCTGCTATTTCTCTGATTCTCAGTGCTTCAGCCTTAAGGAGTTCCCCTTAACAGTATACCATTGGTTCCTTTCCATCCCATAGTACTCTCTTTCCTTGTGGGGGAGTAAAGAAAAACTTCTATTCATCTTTCAGATTTTAGCAAAAATATCTTCCTCAGGGAAGTTCAAGTCTTGGCTTAGTAACTATAACCTTGGGCAATTTAAAATACATGTGTGTGTGTATGTATATATATGTGTACATATACACATACATAAAACATCAATGATGAGAGAGAATCACTGATCAGCTGCCTCCTGCACGCCATACACTGGGGATTAAGCCTGCAATCCAGGCATGTGCTCTTGACTGGAATTGAACCTGGGACCTTTCAGTCCGTAGGCTGACACTCTATCCACTGAGCCAAACTGGCTAGGGCACCTTGGGCAATTTTTAAATCAATAAAAGGATAATGAAAATAAGGCCATCTCCTAGGACTGTGGTAAGGACTAAATGAAATAATATAAAGAGCTTAAAGCAGCCGTTGGCAAACTACGGCCCGTTTGAAATGAATAAAACTAAAAAAAAAAAAAGACCGTACCCTTTTATGTAATGATGTTTACTTTGAATTTATATTAGTTCACACAAACACTCCATCCATGCTTTTGTTCCGGCCCTCCGGTCCAGTTTAAGAACCCATTGTGGCCCTCGAGTCAAAAAGTTTGCCCACCCCTGGCTTAAAGCAACATCTGGCACAGAACAGGTAACACTTGAGCAAGTAACAATAGACTAAAGAGCAACCCGGCTGTCGTGGCTCAGTGGTTGAGTGTCGACCTATGAATCAGGAGGTCCCAGTTCGATTCCCAGTTGGGGCATGTGCCCAGGTTGCGGGCTCAATCCCCAGTGTGGGGCGTGCAGGAGACAGCCAATCAATGATTCTCTCTCATCATTGATCTTTCTCTCCCTCTCCCTTCCTCTCTGAAATCAATAAAAATATTTTTTTAAAAAAGCTTTTCACTAAATAATTGCTGAGAGTGAGTGTACAAATTAAGACAATGACATGGTCATGGGAGGCTCTGTGGGTAAAGGATTTCTTCCTTTCACTAATTAATTCATTAAAAAAATTGCTTACCTTGTGCTAGGCATTGTGATAAGCCCTGGGTGGCTGCAATTTGAATAGATGGCAAAAAATGAAGTGGGAATTTTGAGGAGAGAAGAAAGAAATTTGAGTCAAGATTCAGCTCATGGGAATAGATGGAGGGTTAGGAGAGTGGTGGATGATAAGATTAGACAGGTAGAGGAAGGACCCCAGGTGGTAGGTATTAGAGTACAAGGCAGGGAAGTTGTGACTTGGTCCTGTGCATAGACTGGCAAGACATCTGAGGATAAATATGTCTGAGAAGCTTTGTGATGTTGGGCTTCTCTTTCTGTTGCAGAGTTTTGGGGAGACATTGCCAAGGAATTTTACTGGAAGACCCCTTGTCCTGGCCCATTCCTCAAGTACAACTTTGATGTGACTAAAGGAAAAATATTCATTGAGTGGATGAAAGGAGCAACTACCAACATCTGTTACAACGTACTGGATCGAATTGTCCACGAGAAAAAACTTGGTGACAAAATTGCTTTTTACTGGTAAAAACATCTATCTTATAGTCTGTGGTAGATAAAAAATCATCCTTCACATTATAGTATAATGTTTCATAGTTCATGAAGTGCCTTAAAATCCATAAATTCATTACAACAACCTGGTACAGTAAGCAAACTACATATAGTTAATTTAATGTCTCAGGTGAGGAAAAATACCTCAAGGAAGTTATTAAAATCACATAAATAGCATGTGACAGAACTGATATTCAAAGCCAAGTGTTCTGACTTCTAGTCTGGTGTTCTAGTCTGGTGTTCTTTCCTCTCCAGCTTCTAGCTGGAGAGAAAAGAGGGAAAAGAGTAAATGGAAAAGAACAGGACTAAGTAACTTTCTTATTTTTGCTTTGGGAGAGAAATTGGTGTTGGATTTTCCACTACTACCACCACCACTGTGCTCAAGTTCTTTTATTTTATTTTTTTTCTTTTTAAGAATGGTAGGTGTAACTAAAGAAAGATGTTTCATGAATCTAGGTTTTGGGTTTATTAAAAAATGTTAAGCTCCTTTAGATAAGAAATCAAAATTCTCATAAAATTAAATTACTAAAATGTCATTACCTCACTTAAAGATATTAACCACTAATCCCTTAATATCACAAATATCCAGACAGTGTACAAAATTTTCCAATGGCCAGGAATCTTTTTTTTTTAAAAGCTGATTTGTTTAAATCAGAAAGTCCACACATTATATTTAACTAATAGATGTCTTAAATCTCTTGTGATTTAAAGGCTTTCCCGCCTTTTCCTGTCATATATTTGTGACGAAGCCAGGTCCGATATAATCTCTAACAGTCTGGATCTTGCTGATTATATCCCAAGTGTTGTTCTACAGGTTCCTCTAGCTGTCATGTTTTCAGTCACTAATTCCTAAAAGCTATATATTGAATGCTTTAGTTTTATATTTTCTGCCTTATCTACCAGCCTTCTAAAAAAAATGTTAATCGAATGAACAAAATGGAAAAAAAGTTAGAAAATACAAAGAAAAAAAGTAACCAAAGGGCCACAGATAACCTTGCAATGACTTAACCAAGTAAAAGTGGGGCAGCTCTCCATGGTACGACATATTAAGAGGTTGCAAGTGTTGTTTGACTTCTAACCTAAATGGGCTCTTGCACCCTCTACTGCCATTAATGACATTCTGTGTTCTCCTACACGATCTACTAGGTGGACAATGGTAACACCTACACACATCTGAACCATCTATGACTAATCCTAAGACTCTACCCAGCATGTTTGTCATTAATTAATTCCTATTTTAGAAGGACCACATAAAAGCTGCGTGAACTATGGACTATCCTTAAAGTGGAGGACAGAAACATAAGTCAATCCCACTTGAGCAGGAAGAAGGAACAATTTATATCCCAGAATAAATGATCAATTATGTGAATAAAAAGCTGAAAATCCCATTCTAATATACTAAACTTAGTTCACCAACTCTTAAACATTTGAAATTAAATGATTGTAAGAATCAGGTCAAATAATTAACTGTAACAGGCTCATAGCTGAGAAAACATTGATTCATGACATAATGTAACAGAGGGAATAAACATTAATAAATCCTCATGAAACAGAAACATAAGTCAATCCCACTTGAGCAGGAAGAAGAAACGATTGACATCCCAGAATAAATGATCAATTATGTGAAAAAAAGTTGAAATGTAGGAAAATCCCATTCTAATATATTAAAGTTAGTTCACCAACTCTTAAATATTTGAGATTAAATGATTGTAGGAATCAGGTCAAATAATTACCTGTTAACAGGCTGCATATCTGAGAAAACATGGATTCATGACATAATGTAACACAGAAGGGATAAACATTAATAAATCCTCATGAGCTTGGAAATCCAACATGTTAGTAACAAGTGTCATAGATTTGACAAGGAGAACTATACAATCTCCTCCGCCCAACCCCAAGAAAGTGCTGTTACTATCTGGTCAGTGCATCAGAATCTCCAAGTAAAAGATTCTACAAATACCAACTATGTCCACGAACTAGCAAGGAGTTTTTATATGAACAAATGGAGAAGACAATTCAACCTTCACTGGTGTTTCTGCCAGCGTCAACCAACCAGCCAGTAATAAAAATATCCCCTTAGATTAGTACAGCCATTTACTATTTTCAAAGCACTCTCACAAATTTCAGAGCAAATGACAAGTGACAAAGAGAAAGTAAACCAGGGAAAGAGTGGGAATTTCATATATTTTAGATATAAAGTCAGATTTTAGAAAACTAAACTTTTAAGAGAAAAAAAGCATTGAGAACTGAACTCATTATAATCTTTCAATAACTATATAGTCACGTTAAAGAGCTTAATAGTAAAAACAGGTGCACCGTGTTCCAGGAAATGAGGATACAATGAGAGAGCAGGTCACGCGCAGCATTGTTTTCCAAAGGAAAAACAAAACTAAGGCTGTTTCTTCAAGAATCTTTTAAACAGATTCTCAATCCTTTTTTCTGCCCCCGAAACGTTCAGGGATATGTACACACTCACTGATAACAATGACTCATGACTTATTTAGGGATTTATTTTGATTAACAACAATTGAAAAAGCAAATTCTCCTTGAGAGTGTCAAGCTGGCTGAGCATTCAAACCGTAGGGGGGAAATTATTTCAATTAGAACTTAATTTACTTGAAATCAGCAGCACACAAAAGTTATTTTTAAGGAGGGATGGGATGGGAGGAAGAACTGGATGAAATGAAGTCTCTGGTCAGCGAAGAACAATAGGAGGGGGAAAGTAACAAGGCAAAAAGTAAACTTTGTGTAATTCCTTAAAAACTTCCAGATGAAACAGACATGTCATTAACCAGAATGTCTGGGGATATCAGTAAGGGTACCAATACTCTCCCCCAGGACATTCTGTAAATGACACCCAGAGACACAATGATTGCCTGCGTGGTCCCTGGCCGTGCATCAATATGGGGGCAATTCCTATGCTGTTGCTGACATTTTTGTTAGGCCATCATCTCTGCAATTAGGAATATTTGCCAAATTGAATATCTGATGCAGATGTCTATGACAGTGAAGGAGAATTTGGCCAGCGGCTAGGTACCACTAAGAAGAATGAAGGGCGAGAGAAATATTTGTGTCAGAAAACATAAAGAACTTGAATCAACCATGAGCACTGAACAGAAATTTCAGAGTCAAATAATCTCAAAGCTAGAAGAGTCCTTGAAGCCCATCTATTCTGAAATGAGTAAACTTAACTCTAGAAATTCAGGTTTCCTTTTTCTGCCTTAGAGCGCAAACAGCTCCGTTGTGATACAGCCCAGCTACGGAAGAGCTCAAGCGTGCTACAGTTCAACTAGGAAGCAGCATGGCTGTGAAGCCGCACAGCTGTGAGGAGGCCCCTCTAGACAGCTCTGTTCTTAGGAGGAAAGGGAAAGAGCGCTCTCTCTGTGCTCAAGTTCTTAACAAATATCTCATTTGATGCTAACAACAACCAAGAATGCACTATTTATTTTCCTCATTTCACATATGTGAAAACTGAAATTCTGAGACATTAATAAGTGACTTATCCAAAGTTATACAGCTAGCAAGAAGTGGGCTGAGATTCAAACCCAGGTAGTATAATTCCAGAGCTTACAGGTTTGACCATGACACTATGCTATCCCTCTAATTCCTTTCGTTAGTCTCTCAACAGCTTTGCAAAATATGTATTGTTAGCTCCACTTTACAAGTGAAGAAATGAAGCACAGAAGGGTTGCACAGTGAATAAGATCATAGAATAAGTGATAGAGCCAGGATTAAAAACCAAGTCTATCTGACTCCTTGCTTGTAAAAATAGACCATGCTGCCTCCCCAGCAGGAATTTTCTATGAGCCCCTCTTCCTGGCAACATAACTCTACAAGAAGTACTAATATACTGAACCCAAATAGGACCTTAAAATTCCAGTAATTGGGATGTTGCTTCTGCCACCATCTATGAGCACTCTGAGAACTGATCCTATTTTTAATTGAGCCAGTTGGAGCAGACTGAATGTGTCATTAAAGAATTAAATTTGTACTTGGTCAAAATTTGCCCAGTTTATGTGATATAGTGAGAAAAGCCCTAACCTGAGAGACAGGAAATTTAGATTCTCATTCTAACTCTGCCATTCACCTGCTGTGTAAGTACAGGGAACTCTCTGAGAGTCAGTTTTCTCTGTCATAAAATGGGGATAATAATCCCATCCTTATCTTTCTCCTTAGATAGTTATGAGAATCAAATAAAAGGTGAAATACTTATTTATTTATTAGAAAACACTGTACAAATGTGAATGAGTGTATAATCACATTGCCATTGCTCAATTTGGGATCACTATGCCACTGAAACTCATGGTCTATATCTGTTTAAATTTTCTTTAGCTCCAGCCAACACTTGAGCCCACTTCTTAGGTTTATTAAGGATCAGAAAACCTTTAAAGATCTGCACAGGAGATGCTTGTGTCTGACTCCCACCCCACCCCTTGCCCCGGGTTTGAAATAATGCAGGTGCATGGTGCTCCAGAATCCTGAGGTCCTTTCTAGTTTCTCACCATCCATACCTGAACAGGCTCCAGAGAGTCTCTCTTTCCCTATTTGTAAGATGAGGAGAGTAGACTAGATCAGTGTTTTCCAAAGAATGCTCCAGGAATCACTAATTACTAGAGATATCGTAAAGTCTCCAAGAAGCCCCACAGTAAGCACATCTGATTAACTTTGTTAACATGAGATTCCCACATTTATTTGAGCCCCAACCATTTATGGCAGCATGCTATTAATATCATAACAAGAAATATTGCCCAGCCGGTGTGGCTCAGTGACTGAGCATTGACCCATGAACAAGGAGGTCACGGTTCCCTTCCCAGTCAGGGAACATCCCCCAGTTGCAGGCTCAATCCCCAGTAGGGAGCATGCAGGAGGCAGCTGATCAATGATTCTCTTGCAACATTGATGTTTCTAACTCTCCCTCTCCCTCTCCCTTCCTCTCTCTGAAATCCTCTTCCTCCTCCTCCTTCCCCCCCCCC